GCTGAAGCTGTCGGACGCTCAAAAAGACTGCATCGGACGTTCGACAACCATTGAGTATCTTCGGACGCAGAAAATCAGCCTATCGGACGTCCTAAGGAATTGAAGAAAAATTTCCAATTTTACATCATACCTTCGGACGCAGAAAACCAGCCTATCGGACGTCCGAAAGAATTGAAAAAAATTTCTCAAACTCACTGCCTGCTGTCGGACGCATAAAACAGGGCTATCGAACGTCCGACACTACCAACAGTTAGTTGACTGTTCAGCTACTTTCTATCCGTTGGAAGCATTAATGAGGCACTTTTTTGATCCCATATAAATAGTGGTTGATCAGATACTTCAAACAACTTTGGCACACTGAAGATACAAAAGATTTAGAGAGATTTTAGTGAGAAAATACTCTTCAAAGAAGATTTGTAGTTTTAGTGGTGTGAGGTTCATTGTAAGCTTTTTATTTGTGAGTGAATACTTCATGAGTGTAGCTCTGTGAGGGTTATTCGAGTGATAGTAAAACTTTCTTGCTTGACCAAGTGCGGCTTCGGGCGAGGAGGAAGTGATCCTTCTTTTGTACACAAGAGTGATTGTAATTCATCAACTTGAAGTAGCTTGTTTGAATCGATCTACAAGCTCAAGAGGAGCTAAATAGTTAATTGGTTTGCAATTCTTTCCTTTTTATTTACTTGTTCTTACGTTTATGATTTTTAAATTGTTTATCTCTTCTACTCACTAGCACTTGTGCTTTCTTATCAACTGCTCCATTGTGTGGTCGCCTAAAAAAGGGTTGTTTTCGGGCCTTACAATTGGTATCAGAGCTTGGTCTCCTAGAGATTAAGCTCAATCGGCTTTGGAGTAAAGATGACAACCAACAATGTTATGTTTTTTGAAGGACATTCTGTCATTAGACCACCTATGTTTAATGGGTCAAATTATGTGAGTTGGAAAGAAAAAATGATTATCTTTTTGCAATCTATTGATATTGAACTATGGTTTATCATTAGTGAAGGTCCATATGATGCCTCTCTTATAGATGAAAATATTCAGAGATTTAGACCAAAAACAAGAAGTGAATTGACTGCTATAGATAGAACTCATCTCACCCTAAATGCAAAAGCTATGAATGTGATATTTTGTGCTTTAGACTCAAATGAATCTATTAGAGTCAAAGGTTGCAAGTCAGCCAAGGAAATTTGGGATAAACTGAGAGAAATTCATGAAAGTAGTGAGAATGTTAGAGAACAAAAGAAGTCCATTCTAGTTACAAAATATGAATCCTTCAAAATGCAACCTCATGAAAATATTGATGAAATGTATTGTAGATTCAATGATCTCATTAAAGATTTAGAGGTGCTGGAAAAAGAATATTCTCTAGGTGAGAAAAATAGAAAATTCTGAATGCCTTGTCCAATGATTGGGGAAATAAAGTGACTGCTATTGAGGAGGCTAAAGATTTGAATACTATGCCTATTGAATCTCTTATTAATTCTCTTACCTCTTATGAGCTGAAACTTAAGATTAAGGTGCAAGAGGAAGAGGATGCAAAAGTGCGAAAGAATATTGCTCTAAAAGCCTCACAAGATGAAGTTGATTCTGCCGCCCTAGATGAAGAAGATGTGGAAGGTGATGATAATAATATCACACTCATCACAACAAGTTTCAAACGAATACTCAACAAGAAGAGATTCAGAAAAGGTGGACCTAGCAATTCATTCCCAAATCAGTTCAACAACTCGAGAAATAAAGGGAAGCTAGAGTTCAACAAAAGGCAAACTGATAACTGTTTTGAATGCGGCCATCCTGGATACTATGCAAGTGAATGTCCAGTGATGAAGAAGAAAGAAGGAAGAAAACCAAGATTCAACAAATTTCAATTCACATGGAATGAGTGCAACTCCGATGGTGAAATTGAAGAGGATGAAGAATCTGCTCAATTGGCTTTTATGGCCATTGGAGATGATGAGGTAACATCTTGTAACTCTCAAGTTGAAAGTGATGATGAAACTGATGATGATCTTGAATCTTTCATTATAAAATTGCATGATAGTTTGAAAGAGTCCTATACTAGAAACAAGGAGTTAAAACAGAAAATTAGTTTTTTGCTTCGAGATAATGCAAATCTTCTTCAACAAAATAAAATGTTGATAGCTGAAAATGATTATTTCAAAAAGAGTGAGACTGCTTTACATTTTGAACTTGATAGAAAAACAAAACTTTGTGAATTGTTCAAAAAGGAACAAGGTGATTTGAAAAGAAGAATGAATGGTCTAAATGAGTTGCTTAAACACAAGAAACAGGTCTGTTTTCAAAAGAATAGGTTGAATTCTAATTCCAATGAATTTGCTATTTGTAAGAGAAGACAAGTAAGATTTATTAAATCTGTTCATGTAAATAACTCTTTGGTTATATGTAATTTTTGTTGTCAAAAAGGTCACATGAAAAATGATTGTTATGTGAAAAAAAATATGAGAAGAGGCATGAAATACATGTGGATAGTTAGACATGATACTAACTTTAACAAGTAGGAGATTTTGTTAATCATTGCAATGATTCTTGTTCATAATTTTTTGATATTTCTGATACTTTGATCTGAGTTTTCGCTGATATTTTTGAATACTACTAAATCTGTATGATGTCAAAAAGGGAGAGAAAAGAACTATTCTGATTTAACGATGATTTGCTTTGTTAATCTTTCTGTGATATATTGGTAATTGCTGTGATTGCTGTCATTTCTTTATTTTTATTGGATTCTCTGTTACTGTTGCTGGATTTTGGTAGCTGATTTTTACTCTCATCTTATGATGACAAAAAGGGGGAGAAATGGATGCTATGTGTTAGAGGAGTTATTCTGAAATTATAAGTTTGGTTGCCATGAGTGAGGGGGAGTTTATGCTCATATGCTCAATCTTTTTCCTTCCTTCCATCCATTGTTTTGTCATCATCAAAAAGGGGGAGAATGTTGATCTTGATCCCTATCTTTTGATTTTTACAAAACAAATGGATGATACTAATATTTCTTCAAGATATATTTTCAGTTATGAAGTTATTTGAATCCACGAACAAGTGCAATTGAAAGAAGACAAAGTATGCTGAAGCTGTCGGACGCTCAAAAAGACTGCATCGGACGTCCGATAACCATTGAGTATTTTCGGACTCAGAAAACCAGCCTATCGGACGTCCTAAGGAATTGAAGAAAAATTTCCAATTTTACATCATACCTTCGGACGCAGAAAACCAGCCTATCGGACGTCCGAAAGAATTGAAGAAAATTTCTCAAACTCACTGCCTGCTGTCGGATGCATAAAACAGGGCTATCGGACGTCCGACACTACCAACGGCTAGTTGACTGTTCAGCTTCTTTCTATCCGTTGGAAGCATTAATGAGGCACTTTTTTGATCCCATATAAATAGTGGTTGGTCAGACACTTCAAACAACTTTGGCACACTGAAGATACAAAAGATCTAGAGAGATTTTAGTGAGAAAATACTCTTCAAAGAAGATTTGTAGTCTTAGTGGTGTGAGGTTCATTGTAAGCTTTTCATTTGTGAGTGAATACTTCATGAGTGTAGCTCTGTGAGGGTTATTCGAGTGATAGTAAAACTTTCTTGCTTGACCAAGTGCGGCTTCGGGCGAGGAGGAAGTGATCCTTCTTTTGTACACAAGAGTGATTGTAATTCATCAACTTGAAGTAGCTTGTTTGAATCGATCTACAAGCTCAAGAGGAGCTAAGTAGTTAATTGGTTTGCAATTCTTTCTTTTTTATTTACTTATTCTTACGTTTATGATTTTTAAATTGTTTATCTCTTCTACTCACAAGCACTTGTGCTTTCTTATCAACTGCTCCATTGCGTGGTCGCCTAGAAAATGGTTGTTTTCGGGCCTTACAGATTTCACCGGCTCACGAGAGTAATAAATGTACATTGGATTTCTGATTCATGACATCATTGAAATGAACTATTGTGAAAGATATTTGATTACTGATTTTCTGGTTACTCACTGAGCTTTTAACTCACCCCAAAACTATTTTTATTTCTCCTCCACAGGGCTCGTGGCAAAGGAAGGCTTGTAGTACTTATTCACGTGGTTGGATGGCCTATATTTTGAACAGTTTAGATTTGGAATTCCTCCGGTATAATAGCTGGTATGAAGGATCAGAGTGGCACAGTGGAAGCATGGACGGTTCGCTTATGATATGTAATTCTTGGAGAATTTGATGTAAAATTTGATATTTATATTATAATTTGTTTGAAGTTGTAGTGAGTGAGTTCCGGCGAGAGTTGGGCAGGCGACCCGCTGAACCCTGGGGTACGCCCTAGGGAGAAGTGGGGCCGTCACATGTGGTATCAGAGCTTAAGCTTTAGATTCCTGTAGTGTATCCTAGGCTTGAAGTTTAGGATGCCGGACTGTGGGTTTGGTTTGAAATATTAGTGATTTTTGCGGGATGTCTCAACTTGATTGGTATAAGATGGAATGTCGAGGACGACATTCTTTTAAGGTAGGGAGTTTGTGACGCCCCGAAAGGATGAGAGTGAGGACTCGCAAATTCCTTATATTTTCTCAAAAATACCATTTTATTTGGAAATTATTCTTTTACTATGGCCTACTACTCAATCATTCCTCAATAAGTGCAAATGAACCTGGAAAGTAGGGTTTCACCTTCCGTTTTCAAGTTGGAGCAAGTTCGGGTTTTTCACGTGTATCCGTAGTGTAATTATTCGGTATCGAGTGAGGATCAAATTTGGTACTTAAGAGTGACTTTTGGATGAGGAAATATTATATGATTTGAAGTGATAATAATTAGCGATTAGAAAGTGAAAACCCTAGTATACGCGATTTAAGAAAAATCGGCTCGAACTGACAGGTACCGTTTGTTACCGGGTAAACACACCACTTGACCCATACTTTTTTTTTTCCAAAAGATTTTTCCTTTTATTACCAACAATTGAACACAAATGAAGGAGGGAACAAACCCCCAAGGAGCTGAAGATTGCAACCAGAACACACCCTAAACCTCATCAATTACCCAACGAACCCCCGGCACTCCACGCGCGTCAAGAATAATCGAAGCCCTAACTAATGCCGGTAGTTGCTGAAACTGATCATACACCCGGGTGCCTCCAGCCCCTATAGCTGCTAGCCTATCCGCAGAAGAATTGGCCTCGCGGAAAATATGTGAGAATGAAGCCGAAAAACCTTGCAATAAGTCTCTAACTTTCCTCAATGTATTACATAATGGCCACTTAGCTATTACCCCCGAGCCAACCAGCTGCACCAACGCTTTGGAATCCACCTCGACTAATGACGGACAAAGCCCCCGTTGATGACACAACTGCAAACCACACAGCAAAGCCATACTTTCTGCCTCCAACACAGCCTGATCTCCAAATTCTTTGTAAAAAGCAAAAATCAATTTTCCCTGACTATCGCGCAACAGACCACCACCCGAGGCCCTACCACAATTCACGCTGGCGTCCGAGTTGAGCTTAAGCAGCCCCAGTGGAGGTTTCTCCCAGGCAACCGCACAAGGGATTCTCCTCCGCGGAGAGACCTTAATGGATCTTAGCAACTCGCAATCCCCATCCCCTGTAAAGTGCACCCGACGAAGCTTACCTGCCCTTCCAAGCTGTTCTAAAAAATAGTCCACCTCGCGGAGTATCTTGCAGACCTCCCATCGCAGGCCCTGATAGCGCTCCTGGTTCCTGGCTAGCCAAAGGAACCAGCACACTACAATTGGCATGACTACCCGAATGTGATCCTTCGCAGAGGAAACTGAAGTAAAGTGCCATGAGACAAATACCGACGCCATACTCGAGCAATTACGCAAAAGAAAACCAAAACGGCCAGACACTCTCCACCACACTTCCGATGCAACCGGGCCAGTCAAGAAAACATGCAAAAGAGCCTCCTCCGCCTGGTAGCAACACCCGCACCGAGAGGGCAAAGCCAAACCCCGACAACGCAATGTCATATCCAGAGGGCAAAAATGTCTTTCTTGACTTGACCCATACTTTATTACCTTAATCTTCTCATTTTATTTCAGCTAATTAATCCTCAAAATATCTCATACATCAGCCACAATATTTGACCAAGAAAACAAGAGAGAAAAGAAAAAAAAAATTGACTTCCAATCCAAGGGTGACATGTGTCCACTTTGACCCAACTTACTTGCTATCATTTTAACCGTCTTTGAAGCTTCAATTGCACTTCATTTCAGCCTCTATTTCTGCCATATGAACCGTGGGAAAGAGAGGGAAAAGCCAAGGGAAAGAAATCATAATCCATCTTGAGTTTGGTCCACTTAAGTGAGAAAACAAGAAATCTAAACCGATTAATCAATAGTTTGAGAGCTTGGGAAGCTTAAGGAACCAGAAATTTCAAGAGGAGGTGAAGTATTACTCTTTCAAGCTTCATTTGTTGAGGTATTTGCTGCCTATACTTGCTATATGGATGATATATGTTGTATCTAAACTTATATAAGTGGTTGTAGTGATGATTGGAGCAAGGAATGAAGAAAGTTTCATTGAATCCCAAAAATTCCAGATTTCTGGAAAATTTCAGCCTTGTTTTGTCCGGTTTTGTTGCATCATTTTAGATGCCGAATTAGGCTTGGCATAAAACATGAAAGTTGTGTAGAATGATATTTTATAGGTGCCTACAAAATTTCAACTCAATCGGAGAAACGTAGCCTGTCAAAAGACCAAATTACCCTCACTATTTTAGGATGTTTCCAGTGTTCCGTTTTAGTCAGTTCATCCAGTTTATCATGTTCATTCACTAGGATCCGTGCTGATTTAGCCATTTTCCAAAACATGAAAGTTTTAGTACTCTGTCTTAGCTTTTCAACACGTACAAGAACACCTTAAATGGGCCTTGGTAGCCTGAGATATGACCATTCTAGTACAGTGCGGTTAATTAGCCGTATAGTTGGAAGTTGGCTCTGTAAATTGGGAATTTGACTAGGTTACACTGGAAATTTGACTAAGCAACCTTCATGGAAGTTGTAGGAATTTGTCTTAGCTTCGAAACGGTATGATATTTACTTCGATCCGATAAGCGTAGCCTCGAATGTGTCCTTTCCGCAAAACCCTATCAATCTGTCTTTTGCTAAGGCTCATTTCCGCACTTGTTATTAACTTGAATTTTGTCCTTATATTGTCTTAAGCCTATTGGACGGCTATTGAAGTTAGATTGTTGTGTGTGTACCTTTTGTCGCGCCCCATTTTTTGATAAATAAATAAATGGTTTAAAAATGTATTTTTTGTGATTGGAAAATGAATTGTGATTTAAAAGAAAAAATGGGTCTAAATGGGGGGTTGAGAATGCGACGATTTGACCCAAAATTATAGTTTAAAAAGGGTTTGAAATAAAAATTGGAGTCGCCACTTGGTAATGAGTTAAGGTGTACCAAGTCACCAAAAAATGAATTTTTAAAGAAAAATAGGAAAAAGTAGTAAGAAATCCCTTTTAAACGACTCCTAGTCCACGTAAACCAAAGAAAAAGGTTCGGGAGTCACATTTGACAAAGGGGAAGGCAAGGATAAAATCCAAGGCACCCCTTTGACCTAGCCAAGGCTAGTTGCATGATTTAATCAAAGATTTTCTTGTTTTAACCAAAGAATTTATTACATTTGGATGCACTACATGAATGCAAAAGAAAGGAAAAATGCAAACCTAAATTCTAAAATGTCTCTTGTAAGGTTTTTGGTCCCAACCACATGAATTGTGGCGGCCAATAAAGGAAAACCTTATAGAGGTCGATTAATGCAAATGATGGCTAAAGTGCAAGTGTGCAAGTGTATAAAAAGGTGCACGTGTGAAATTGTATGAAAAATCCAAGTGTTTGTGTGCAAGTGCATGAAAAGGTGCATGTGTGAAATTGTATGAAAAATCCAAGTGTTTGTGTGCAAGTGTATGAAATATAGTGATAAGTGCATATAGGTGTAATTAAGTGCAATTTTGTGAAGTAGAAATCAAAATGAACAATAAGGCAAGGAAAAGTGATGAGGAATTAAAAAAAATGAGTAAATGATAAATGAAAATGAATGAACCTAAAGGAATGCATCAGGTCGGGTATGGGAATGACTCCTAACTTTTTCGACTTCAATTTTCCCTTTGATTAGAAAGCAAAACTAGCGTGCTAAGGCTATCGAGTAGCCACACTCGCCCGTTTCCCTTATCAGAAGGGGACTCTTCAGGCAAATGTACCCTAACTAGTATGAGATGCAAGACCTAAAGTGAGGGGAAAGGGGAATCGAGGAGCATGCCAAATGATAAAAACTAAGGAAAAATGCATGATATGTAGTGAACAGGCAAATAATGCATTAATGAAAAACAAAGGAAAAATCCTAATGGGTCTAGCGTTGGACTAGCCCTTTCTATGAATTCCTACTAGCATTGGACTAGTGAAAACGTACATTCATCCATCACATTCATTCAAGCTATGGAAAGCGAGTAGACATGCCAAACACTTATAAACACCTAGCACATAACATTTAGCATGCTCGACTAGATGCAAGGCCCTAACAAAGCAAATTAACACGTAGCAACTAAGCATGCAAGACACATAAGACGATTAAAGCCCTAACTATTACATTTGCTAGCTAGGCACATGACTTCGATAGGTCTTCATTGAATGCTCCTCCAAGCCCTATCTATTACAAGCCAAGAGGTGTACACATACCCCATAAAAAATAACTTAAATAAAAGCAAAAAGTAAATGACATAAATAAAAGGAATTAAGGAAAGGCTAGGAAAGCAAAGTAGACATGCAATTTTCACTTAGCACGTTGGATCACATAGGAGACACAAAAAGGGATAAAAGAAATTATACCGCCCCCTTTGAATGGTGTCTAAATGAAAGAAAAATGGCTTCAAAACAATAAAAAGGTCACAGTACCTCAAATAGTAAAGTATAACAAAGTCACCAAATCTCTCCTAATTGCAATTTAAATGAAATCAAACAATACATAGTTTCCAATAAAGGGATCCACCAAGGACCCAAATGCAAGCATTAATCAACCATTCAAAGCCAATTGAAACATTTTAGAAACTTTGAAAGTCCAAGAGCAAGAAAAAGGCCAAAGCCAATTTATTTCAGAAAATTCAGGAAGATAGGCGAACACAAGCTCATTTGAACACAAAGTTCTTAAACTCTTGCATTATTTACCACCTAAACAAATGAAAGCAAACAAACAATCGAGTGGAAAAATTGAAGTTGCCAAGGACCAAATTGCGAACATTAACCAAGCATTCAAGCCTAATTAAACATTTTTAGGAACTTCAAAGGTCTAAGAGCAAAGCAAAAGGCAAGTAATGGTTCAAATGCAAATACTTTAGGACTCAATTGCAAGAGATTGAAATGTAGTTGAGCCATAGTGCAACAAAGGAAGACTTGGGGGATTAGAACTGTAATTTTTGAAACATTTCCATGCATGCATGCAGACTAACGTAAGATAACATTCTGCCAAAAAGAAACAAACAATTACTGCACTTTGTTTCACTTTCAAACATAATTTCAGACTTGATCTCATACTTTCCCAGATCTTTCTTGATCCAACATTCAATTGTAAACTAAACAACAAACATGAGATGGACATCCGAACAAGCAAAAACATAGAAGGAAATCATGCAAACATTTAAAAACTTCATGCAAAAAGGCACGGAGAAGCTTTATACAATCAGAAAATCAAAAATCTGTTACAACTTCAGATTTGACATCAAAGTTTGATCAAAACTTCTAAACCAAAACCTCCAAACTTTGAACTAAGCACTAAGACACATAACTTAAACATTCAAACAAGCAAGGAGTAGGAAATTAAACCAAAACCAAAGGAACTTTTCATGCAAGAATGGTTTTAAACTTCAGCATTTTGCATGGCAGATTAGCTCCAAGCTCTCAAATCGAAAACCAGCTTCAAATTCTTATCATGGATGCAAAGGAATGACAAAATCAGAAACACTAAGGACAAGACTTTCTGCCAAGGGAAAACAAAAAGGCAGCAGCTACAAAGGAAAACATTCTGCAACTGAAACCATTTAGCAGCCTACGCAACTCAGGAAAATTTGAGATAGAGTTTTCTGTTTTGCTGCAAAAATTGCAGCTCATACTCTCATGGATGAAATACCGAAAAACATTGTACCAAACTTGTCATTCATCAATCAAACTCACACACATCTTCAAACATAAACTTTAACATAGCCCAAACATGGATGCCTACCCTCATCTATTCCAACCAAAGGAATCAAGCCAAGACGTCAAGAAACACAAAAGAAACGCAGCATGGTTGAAGCTTTGCTCTCTTACTGTTGGTTTCCAGATTCTACCACTTTGTAGCTTATTAACAACTAAAGACAGTTTTGCAAAAGACTTTAAACGCTGCTGTGAAACCCAACTCCCATAAAACAATCATGCCACACAAAATGCAAGCAACGGAAATATGAGATGATACAACTGGCAAGCTCGGCATACATTCAAAGGTTTATTGCTGTGATTTTTCTGCCACCAAACTTACAACTTATCCCATGCATTTATGTTCATATGACCAAGACCAAAACCATTACTTTTAGCCAAAACTCACACATTCCTTAACCCTTTGTTGCTTACAGGGACCGAGCAGAATATAAAAACCTCTTAAGGTAAACCAAAACAGATTAGAGGGTCATGCAAAATCTGACTAATACAGAGAAGAACTACCATTTGCTAGGCTTACTTATCACAAACATCAGCCATAAATCCCAACACAAAGGCACCTAAAATTCATCATAAAACCACCACCGAGGAGCCCCAAACTACTGTCCCTAAAACCA